AAACAAACAAAAAAGAAAAAAAATAATAATAGAGAAGGAAACACCAATCTCTTTTTAAAAGCCTTTTTTTCTATATGGGGTATATATCTACCCTGGATTCCAGAGGTGCTTGTCTATKCAAGTAGCGTAGCGAAGCCCCCCTGGACACTTGAGTGAAATCGACTCAAATTTTACCACTTTCGCTTCGATTCTCGAAAACAACTACAACAAAAGCAAGAAATAACAAGGAATCTCTAGCACCCAGGGTATAGGGTCATGTCATGATTGAATTTAGTTTACAATTATATATCATTTTTAAAGAGAATCAACTGTGTAGCGCAGTCTGCGTTCGGTAGCTTTCTCTGTGTTGATTTGTATCCCTCCAATAGAATCACATCTTGCAAATTCGTGAAGGACGGCCCCGCAAAGAGCGATCTAATTGGATAACCGATTCCTATACGCATGCAAATATGGTTTATGTAACAGGTTAGGATTAAAAAACCCTTCACTTACTTGCTTCCCAAGATTTGGTTGTATAACCTCCGCCAATGTACCCATCATTGCTTTTCATGAGAACAAGGGTGTGCCCCTTATCATCACACAGTCTGTGGAAATCCATCGCTGACCAGCCGTCTCGTGTTGCACGATATAAGAGACTGCATTTGGAATCAGTAGGCAACCAACTACTTATCTCTGTGTCGTGTTCCTGGTTTGTTTTAGAGTAGACAGATGATAAATTTGGAAAGTATGTTAATTAATAATAGCGTTAATTAGAAACATTATAATCACCCAACCTTTTTATGGCGACCCTGGTAGCTAAAGGCCCGGGCCATCGCGCTTGGCGTGCAGCTAACCTATCTTTCTTAGGGTTTATCGTTTTCCCAGACCATCTATATTGTATTGAGAACGGCTTTCCAATCCCTCGAGAAAAAGAGAACAAAGCTTTAGCCGCCATGTTTGTGGAATGAACAAGAGAAACTAATAATGAGGAATGCATGCAACCTTTGTTATTTGGCACCAAAACGAATATTAAAAAAACCAGCCCGAGAAAATAATAACTTGAGATGAGGACACTAGTTGTAAGCTTCTGCGTCCAGTTGTCAAATTTGCATGGATGACCTTTTGATCTTCAAGCCAGTACCTTGTGATATCCGAAACTCTTTGTAGAACGACGCATACAACAATAGAAGTCATGGTCATTAAGTATGTGCATATGATTTGCGGGGTGTTCTAAGTATACCAGCTCTTGTTTTTACTTCAAGTCTCTGATGATAGGAACGTGCACTTTCAGTACAGACACCTTTCCGCGAGATTTCCTTCCTTTCCAAACTCTCGGAAATCTGACGTAAACGGAAGCGCACATTCCAAATTTGAATCACAAACGAAAAAATATCGAGCGAGTACCTGGCCAAGTACATCTAGAATAAGAATAAGTTTCTTTCAAGTCTAGCTTACCTTACGTTTTACAATAACAGACGTTTCTCTCAGCAAGACCGGTGACTCTAGGTCGTCAATTATTCCTTGTATTTGGTAAAATTCTGCTTCTTGAAGGATTTCCTGTCTTGTTGTCACGTCATCGGGATAAATAAGTGTACCGTTGCGCAGATAATTTAGAATGTACCTGAAACATTTTAAACCTATTTAAAATTTTAAAAAAATCGTCTTGCAACATGGTTTAGTGCTATGGATAAATAAGCGCACCATTGCGCAGATAATTTCGAATGTACCTGAAACATTTTAAACATATCTAAAATTGCAAAAAAAAAAAACCAACAAAAAAACAAAAACGTCTTGCAACATGGTTTAGTGTTAAAAGTAGCCGCAGCCAAGCAACGCCGGCTCTCAAGCTTTTTTTTTATGTAAGTCGACAATAAATGTTATCGTTTTGAATTAAATTTCTTCCATCGAACTAATAATAGTAAAATCAAGACCGATGGAAGTCAGTATAGGAACTGATGAAGCACCGGTGTGTAGTGGCGAGATCTAGCGCTCGCCTCTCACCAATGCGACACCAGGGGTTGATTCCTGCACGCGGCGTTTTATGTGAGTAAAGGGTTGCTTGTTAACCACTGGCTATTCAATGCTACCCTCGTAAAACATGGACGATTCATTTTTATTTAAATGTTCGATATACTTATCCTAAAACAGAAAATTAACATGTGCGAGGTTAATTAATGAAGTTCACCGCGTGATCCGGGCCAGGGAGTCTAATATAGCTGAAATAAGGCTTTGCAGAGTAAAATCTAGCTTCCTTTTTCGTTAGTTGTCTTTTTTTTTTTCTTTCTTTTTTTTTTTAGTTTGCGGCCGCCAAAGGTAGAGCTGAAGGCGTTATTATAGTCAAACAAATTATCTGTTTCAGTGCGCTGGCGTTGTTTTCCTTCAGAGTGACGCGTATCTTCGCGGCACAATGGCCACACGCCTTTTGTTCTCTAATTATGTCTCTTCTTCTTTACCGGACGCAAAGAACTGAAAGATGCGCACTTGATTGAATCTGAGAATAAAATTTCATAGGCCGGTACTGGTAACCAAATGAATAAAAATGCGCTGTTTGATTTGCAGTAAGTTGCATATTATAAGAGCCGGTTTTTAATTTGAAAATGCTATCGTCTACGCACAATTCGTCATGAATAAAAACTATCGCAACCCTATACAAGTTAAATCATAGTAATCTCCCTCTATTCAGTAACTGTGAAAACAAGCCTCATCAAGAAGGATGGATCAAGGATCAGCTGATGGCAAAAAAATACATTTACAATCCAACATGCCGCATTCCAAATACAATAATACCTGAAAGTGTCGCCATCCCGGTCAATAAAGTAATAACCATCTTCTTCTCTTGACTTCATTTTGAATCGTCCAGAAAACATAGCAGCGAGCATTGATGCAGGATCCTTATTGATTGTCTGGATGGACGTCTTGTAAATCTTCCCTCCAACGTCTAGTTTTATGATTTGGTTTGGAAACTCCTGATTCCTTAGCTCTTCTGAATCTTTTTTTGTTTCCTTCATTGCTAAGTTTTTGCTTGTTTCCTTCACTTGCTAAAATTTTAGAGAATCTTATGATAAAAGAGCTAAGTAGCTATTGTCTGACAAGATCAACTAACGAGTGTTTTGCAGCGCACCGGAAGCTTGGCTTAGACGGTTGAGAACAATAGCATGCACAGATGCATACATTATATGTTAAGTTCATTGATGCAGACTGTTACTCTGTGTTTGCAGGCGCGTTTCTGGGCCTGATCGCTATTGGTTAGCGGTAAACCTGATACTAAAGGTCTTCGGGTTCGAAGTTTAGTAAATTCCGGACTCTCGACTCCTTGGCCCAGAACATACAGTCAATTCAAAAAATGTTGTCGTGGACCAACTCAAGCCTACGCGACTGGACCGAAAGGAACTCTGGGTAGCAATCATTGTAGCCGAATTGACTCCATAATTTTATCTGACTAGTTATGCCTGGTTTACAGCACGAACCTTCGTARGCGAGCGGGAAGTGTTGAAGGAGACGTTCATTAATRCCTTCATATTTTCGAAATTGTGAACTGAATCATAACTACTTTGTTTTTCTTTCACTAAACCCAAAGACATGCATTTGATGGATTGTTTCTCGCCATTATTATCTTATTACTAGCGGGAACAATTAATTCAGAACGAATATTTAACCGCTTCATTGATTTTTACCCATATTTTTTTCGGTCCAGTCGCGTAGGCTTGAGCCGGTCGACGACAACGTTTTTTGAATTGACTGTATAACATGAAATAAGAAAACAACTGCAATACCGCATAAATGCAATCTGTGCAATTTATATTATAAAGCAACCGAAGAGGATTACCTGTAAGAGGAATATAAAGATCTTCGCGGTAGACCCACATCGGAATTTTATATCACTTTGGAAGGAAGACTGGCCTGCCTAGGCTAAAAGGTTTTTTATTTCTCTGGAAGTTCACAAAAAAATGCTAGTGACTGCATCTAGTCGTTAAATACTTTTCGTTTGGGCTGCCTGTGTTATCAGCTGTTACGAGGAGGCCTGGATACGAACACGTTGGGTAATGGCTGAACTGTTTGAATATTTCTGTAGACGTGTCTGCCAAAAAAATCGATTTTGTACTTGAAAATAGCCAAGTTAAGAGATTTTGAGGTCTTCTAAAGGTAACTGAATCTTTGTTTTAGATAAATAGCTAAAAATCTGTTGTTGTTATTGTTGTTTTATGTGTATTTTAGTGCTTTTGTATCACGTCTATCTCGTTGTATAAACTGCTGTTGCCAGAAGTTCGACGTTTCTCGTTCTCTTGATCTAATAACCTTTGAAAATTTCAATATAGATACTTGTGTAAAGGAAAGTTTTAGTATAGTTTGAGGGCTTTGTTTTACGTTCTTTTAAGATCGACATATAAAATTGTGGTTTTCATGCATAAATTAACTTATCAGTTTGGAGGGATGGAATAACTATAGAATACCCCGCCAAATGAAACTATAGAATACCCCGCCAAATGAAACTATAGAATACCCCGCCAAATGAAGCTATAGAATACCCCGCCAAATGAAACTATAGAATACCCCGCCAAATGAAACTATAGAATACCCAGCCAAATGAAACTATAGAATACCCGCCAAATGAAACTATAGAATACCCCGCCAAACGAAAGCCATTTCTAAGGAATGTGCCTGGCCTACTTGGTGTCTAATTGCCCTATTTCACTATGACGTCACTGCTTGTTTATGTGGGGGATAGAATCGCCAAATCCAATAGAAAATTCAACAAAATTTGCTCCTAGCAAAACTGTTTAATCTAAAATGGCCTGGTTTTCAGATATAACACGTAATAATATGTACTAARAATATTCTGAGCGTTTGCTGGCTATTCTACTCCTCTTCGTGGATTGATACCGTTTTTAGAACAATTTTTGGTGAATTTGCGTTGATTTGACCCCCTTCGACGACAATGATCCTTTGCGTTGAAACAATATACTGTTTTGATGTGACGTCATAGTGAAATAGGGCAATTCTTCATATGAATTCTCGGTGTATTTTTCATCGTGTCTCTCTGTCTACGCAGCCAACTCAGCCTGTGCGGCCAACGAGCCTACGCACCTACGAACCCTTTGTTTATTCCTACAATGCCTTCCCCAATCCTAACCCTAAACCTAACCCCAAGGTACTCAATTGTTTATTCCTACAACGAATGCGTAGGCAGTCCACTATATTACTTTTCCTTGTGGGGAATTCTATAGTTGTACTGGAGGGATAATTAGTCTTAAATATGACATTAAAAAAAAGTCTGACGATGGGACTCAATCATATAGTGTATAATTCAAATAGAATTGAATGCATAGTATTAAGGGCCGTTATCTATAAATATTGAAAAAAGTAGTAAAAACAGACTTTTTGGGCACATGATCATTTTTTACCACTGATTTCTTAGCTTATTATACACTCAACAAAATTACTCGATTCGGATTGGACAAGAGGAGTACATTTAAATCCCAAATTGTACTCTCTGGAGTCACAATTAGATTAATTAAGTTTCTCAATTTTATTATTATTTATTTTATTTTTATGATTAATTTTATCTAGATTTACTTAGGACTTAATTTATTAAGTAATTAAATATTCAATATTATTATAACTACTAGCTTATTCCTGAGCACTTTTGGTAATATATCTCTCTAAACATAGTCTTAATAAGTATGATATGTATCTTTGTTTTATAGTTTTACAGTCTACCGTACGGATGAAGGTAGTGATGAATTTAATTTAAGGTGGCTGCCCACTTTTGAACGTTCGATTTGAGCCCACGATGTGCGCGCGCTCAAAAGCCGCTGATAAATCTACAAGATTTTATTGAAGAACCATACGTGTTTTGAGCTTCAACAGGATAAAACCCTCAAATTATGCACGGGACTCTCTATTTTTTAATAGCTCATTCGAAAAACTCCTAAAAATCTAGGTTATATCAACATTTTAGAAAAAGTTTAAATCAGTAACACATGAAAAAATAGATTTTTGTAGGGATTTTTGTTCTACTTTATGAGATTTTTTAAGAGCATCGAAACTACAAAATATGATAAATCAATGTATCTCTTTGTCTTTTTGTCGAAAATATCCATGTATTATTGTAGAATGATTGACTAGCCTTCATTCATGCAATCATATATAGTCTGCAAATAACCATTATCTYATGAATCTTAATTTTGTTCTAATCCCTTCCGGTGGTGCAATTTTTGCTCCAAAAGCTTGGGCGTAGGCTTCCATTAAATGCTGATTACATCTCRAAAACGAGCTCAGGACACCCAATTTTTCTTTCCAGATTTCAAATCAGCATTAAATTTCAATTCGRAAAATCGAAGTTTAAAAAAAAATTAAATTGTTTTCCAAAAGTAGGCAGTCACCTTAATTATGATAATGATAACAATAATATTCCTTCCTCTTCTCTTTATCTTGCAGCACACAGACAGACAGACAGACAGTATTCACTCTACAACAGGTCACCATGTACTTTGATGCCATCACTGCAGAACACACCCCTTCCAACCCGGAAGTTACTGTATCACAGTCGGTAGAAGTCATCGATGAATCATCACATATGAGCACTGATGTCCCAGTTCTGCGTACTGTCAATCTGACAGACATTCTTCACCAGACGGCTGCAGAATCCATTGTCATTGCGTCAATTGAAGATGAGAGTAGCTCAGCACCTACAACACTTTCTAGCCCTGATATTAATGTTACATCTTCTCCAAGCAACGCGACATCTGTGTTTTCAGTGAGTGACATCAATATAGTAGATGGGGAGATGCCACTTATCCTGATTCAGACAGTGCCGCCAGACAGCTGTGTCGTGAATGAGGTGGAGACAGAAGACCATCAAGAGGATGTTGAAACCAGTAATGATTCTCTGGCAGAAAAAACACCACCAAAAAAGAAGAAAAAGAAAAAGCAACAACAGAGTAAAAGCCTGCAGTGTTCTTCTTGTAGTCAAGTCTATTCAAGTCAAACTGGGTTAATAAACCACATGAAAATACACAGTGGAGAGCACAGGTGTGTGACCTGCAACAGGACTTTCACCAGGACGGATCGACTTCACCAGCACATGAAAGCAGTACACAACTCAACTATAACGCCAACATGCAATAACTGTAGGCAACCATTTGAGAACAATGCAGAACTGAAGAAACACAACATGACAAGTTGTCCAGTAAAACGCTTTGAATGCAGTGATTGTGACAAGAAATTCAGACGAAAGGAGCAGCTTATAGTCCATGCTCGTATACATACTGGTGAGAAGCCCTTTAAATGCCCAGACTGTGACAAGGCCTTCCGTGGACATGTCATGCTTAAACAACACCAAGCTATCCATTCAGGAGTCAGACGGCACCAGTGTAAACACTGTGGGGAAGTATTTCTATGGCTTTCCGCTCTTTCGAAGCATGTCAAGACGAAGACTTGCATCAGGCRTAGTAATAAAATAATTGCTAAACAAAATAGGAGGGTAGAAAATGAACAGAATGATAGTGAACAAAATGGGGAAGAAAGTACAGAATATTCTGGAGATATAGTTACTGCTGCCATGGAGTTGTCTAATATAGATGCCACTCCTCAAGCTAACGCTGACGATAGAGAAGAAGAGTCCCAATCCAGTGTGGCTCCTGAGTCATCCAACAGTGCACCTCAAGCCAGTAGTGATGACAGTACTGAATTTGTAGCCATTGAATCGTCTGCATTCACTCCTCAAGATAAAAGTGATGAAAATGATGCTGAGAATATCGTACAATCTGGCGATGAGGAAGATGACATCGACTCTTCTCAGCAACTAGAAAATGCTACCTTTGCAGCCTTCTCTAATTCATCTGATGTAGTGAGCAGTATTCATCAATGCCCACATTGCTCTCGCTTATTTTCCAGCATCTTCTTTCTGGAGCGACATATCTCACTACATGCTGCTGAATCAACGTTTGAATGTGTAGCGTGCGACAAAGTTTTCACTACAAAGCGCCAGCTTGACGGGCACACCAAATTAATGCATGGTTCTACTGGTCCACAAGAATGTCCACGGTGCGGTAAAGAATGCGAGAGCAAGAAAGCCTTGTTACTTCACAAAAACAGTGACTGTACATCCACACCTTTTAAGTGCAGTTCCTGCGACAAAACATTCAAACGAAAATCCAATTTGGTTATTCACGAGAGAATACATACTCAAGAAAACCCATATGAGTGTAGAGTGTGCAAAAAAGGTTTCCGAAGCAAGACATACCTAAATCGACACATGGTGATACACTCCGAAGACAGACCATATATGTGTGAGCAGTGTGATAAGACATACAAGAGACCTGAGCAGTTGGCTTCACACCTAAAGACCCATGACCGAGAACCGGTTGTCTATAAATGTGATGAATGTGACCGGGAATTCAATCGCTATGGTGCTCTTTTTTTCCATATGAAGAGTCATAGGGCTGCTAAAAACACTCGAGAGAAGCGCCACTCCTGTACGGTTTGCGACAAGAGTTTCTTTAATAAATCTCATTTAAGCAGACACATGAATATGCATACTGACACTAGGCCATATCCATGCTCTCACTGCGACAAGGCATTTCGTACCACAAGCGATAGAAACAACCATGAAAAAACACACTTGAAGGAAAAACAGTCTTACGAGTGTGAAGAATGTGGCAAGGAATTTCAGCGGCTTTGCTCTTATTCCACCCACATGAAGTATCATTCTGGTTTTAAGCGGAATGCTTCCCAAGGCACCGAACTGTTCTCTTGTGATATTTGTGATAAAGCTTTCTCCCTGAAAAGAAACCTTACAAAACATCTTAAGACCCATACGAGTGAGGCATTGTCTCCACCTACCTTTTGCAGAGAAGCCTATGTAAGCTCAGCTCAGCTATCGGAAGGTTCAGAATCACAAGAAGGCAAGCAGTTTACCTGTGAGCAATGTAACAAGGTATTCTTGAGAGAGTCCAGTTACAATACCCATTTAAGGTTCCATGAAAGTCCAGAACCCCTGGAGTGTGAACACTGCGATGAAATGTTCATCTCTTTAGGGCACCTGGATATCCATATGAGAAAACACAATGACCAAGGGTCTCACAAGTGTGAAGAGTGCAGTAAAACCTTCCGTTCAAGTGCACTTCTATCAAGGCACAAGTTGATCCACAGACCCAAAACATTCCGCTGTGCAGTCTGCGACAAGTATTTTATAACTTCATCACAGTTATCCCGCCACAAGATCCAACACACGAAGGAGCCCGAGTACTTCAAATGTGACCAGTGTGATAAAGTATTTACTAAAATGTCCAGCTACAAAGCTCATATCAGGTTCCATGAGAGTTTGGAGCCATTGCAGTGCGAGTTCTGTGACCAAATCTTCTTTTCTGTTGGGCGTCTGACAACCCATTCGAGGATTCACAATAGTGAAGGGACACACAAATGTACTGAATGTGACAAGACATTTCTCTTAAGTGAGGCTCTCTCTAGGCATTTAACCTTGCATAAAGAAAAGACATTTGCCTGTGAAATTTGTGAGAAAACCTTCCTGACTGCCRCAAAATTAGCCACACATTCCAAAACGCATCAAAATGGCAAGAATACTTTTACTTGCTCAATTTGCAACAAGGATTTCGATAGACATTCTAGTTATAAGACACACCTACGATTCCATGAGAGTTCAGAGCCAGTAGAATGCACTATATGTAATGCTGTTTTCCCATCTCTTGGCCTTCTAGACGTCCATCAAAGGACACACAACACAGATGGCTCTTTCAAATGTCTCGAGTGTGACAGAACTTTCCGATTTAAAGATGGTCTGACAAGGCACGAATTAATTCACAAGGAAAAGACCCTCTGTTGTTCGGTGTGCGATAAAAAGTTTAGAACCACACAGCAATTGGCGAAACACGAGAAGGTGCATTCGTTCGAAAAAGAGGAAGTGACTTGTGAGGTATGTGGGAAGGTGTTTGATAGAATGACAAGCTACAATTCCCACATGAGGCACCATGAAGGAACAAAACCTGTAGAATGCCAATATTGCGATGCAGTTTTCTATTCATTTGGTAAATTGGACATCCACATAAGGTCCCACAATAGTGAGGGGACATTCAAATGTGATGTGTGTGAAAAAACATTTCTGTCTCATAAATGCCTTGCAAGACATCGCTCAACCCATATGGAAAAGAAATTCCAGTGCTCAATCTGTGAAATGAGTTTTAAGTCTAGAGCTAATCTCAGAAAACACTCCAAGCGTCACACACGGGTTGATGAACAGCTTGAGTGTGAAGAGTGTGGTAAGGTATTTAACCAAATTTCTAGCTACAAGACCCATTCACRAACACACGAAAGCTCAGAACCTATCAAGTGCTCCTACTGTGAAGCATCCTTTGTTTCTTGGAGCCTTCTAGATGCTCACATGAGAACCCACAACAGCGAGGGAAGCCACATATGCGCTGTATGTGACAAGCCATTTAGATCAAAAGTTCATCTTGCAAGACATCAGAAAATCCACAAACTCAGGCCTTTCCTTTGCCAGAACTGCAAAATGAATTTCAAAACCTCATCCAGCTTGTCGGAGCACCTATCCCGAAAGCATTCAGGTGATGAGGAAAAAGAAAGACATAGTACTCAAATAAAATCTCTCAAAAAGCCAATCAAATGTACGCTCTGTGACAAGTTATTCGTTTCCATACTGGAGCACAGCCTCCATGTGAGAATGCATAGCAGAGAGAAGCCATTCAAGTGTACTCACTGCAACAAAGGGTTTGATAATGAGGCTGACTGCAACGTGCACACCGCTAGTCACCAAGAAAAGAGTCAAAGTGGCCGACCACTAAGAGGCATCAGAACACAACACAATCAAAACAAACCCACGCTCAAGTGTTTAACTTGTAAAAAAGTATTCCGGTCCAAGTTAAGTTTCATTATACACAAAAGAAGTCACAAGACACCTCCTAGTGCAAAGACCACAACGACCAGGACAGGGAGCAAGACACAGTCAGTGCGCACAACCCGGTCGTCCAACAAGTCCAATATCAACTCGCCAACCCAGTCACCAAAGAAAACAGATGCTACTGGCCAAAGGGTGGAATGTCCTGAATGCGGAAAAGGGTTTTCAAGTGAAGGACACCTTAAGCAACACTCACAGACACACAAAACATTCAAATGCTCTGCATGTCATGATGTGTTTAAGACAGAAAGCCAACTGAAATTACACATGAAGACCCACGACGTCCCACAAGCCAGCCTTACCTGCCCAACCTGTAATAAGGTCTTTAAAACAAAGTCTAGCTTAACTGTCCACTGCAGGTCTCATTCAAGCGTCATGCCATGCCTGTGTTCTACTTGCAACCAGTTCTTTTCAAGTGTAGAGGAGTTGAACGATCATCTTCAGAGTCATGACCAGGTAAACCAGGATGAACAGCCTTCAGTAAAGTCTACGGAAACGCAGTGTGTTCATTGCAGCAAGAAATTTTCCAACTCGACAGCTTTGAACGTTCACCTGTTGTCGCATCAGGACACAAAGCAATTTATGTGCTCTTTATGCGACAAGGAATTTAAAAGCCAATCTCATTTGAACAGACATGTAAAACTGCATGAATGATCAACATTAGAAGGTCTTGGCTAGCTATTCTTAGGTTTTACTTGTTATAGTCTTATGGGAGGGTTGGGGGTTAAAATCACCATTTTACTCTGTATACAATCAAAAAGAGACACCTTTAAATAACATGTATTTTTCTCGTCACAATTCACTTTTTCGGCGCTTGCCATCACGGGGGTATTAGTTATTTTAGATTGTGTTACGGTCACCAAAAAGTTTGGACATTGGTCTCCGATTTCTGTACAAATGTACTGATTCTAAATGAACTATTTACTTGGTTTGTTTAGCTAGTTCTCTAAATACAAGTAAATAATCATTTTCCTAGCTTGATTGAAGCTTTTCTTACTGCTGTTAGGATAGCTAACTAAAGAAATCTACCTAAATTTTCTCTTTAAAGTCAGTGAATTTGTATGGGAATCTGAGAAAGATGTCTGAACTTTTTGGTGACCTTAACGCAATCCGAGCTAGCGCCGAAAAGGTGAAATATTATTGCAAAACAGACTTATTCAAAAGGAATTTAAACTTGTAGATAATGGAGCTGTAAATGATTCATAAAATCACAGAATTTGCAAGTGATGTGAAGTAACGGGTGGCATGGTAATAAGCAAATATTTAAGTGATAATCAGAGTGTGACGTTTTGAAAATCTTTTAAGGTTGATTAACAATGCTTTATGCTGTCATTAGTAAGTTACACAATGGATTTACCCGGGGAAGTGATTTACCCAAAGCAGCTTGTTTCGACTGAATCAAGTGGTGCCTAACAATTTTGAGGAAAAGTTGGCCTTTATGCTCCATTATTGCGGAAAACGATCATGAGCCATTGGTGATTCATAATAGAGGCTTGGCACTGTCACGTGACGGCAGCCATGTTAGATGGCAATAATGATACAATAGTTAACATGAAAAATAATTCAATTCCTTAGAGCAAAGGAATTTTATTGTTCTGCCATCTAATCACAGGCAGTCCAAGCAGTTTTATACACCCTTTTCATAATGGCTGATGAACGCACTGAAATGAGGTCACCCAGTCATCTTGCAAGGTTGAGCCAAGCTGATCATTCAAAATAAAGGCTGTTAGAGCTAATTCAGATCAAAACAAAGGTCATTTTTTTATACTTTTCTTCTTTAAAGTCATTTCATGTAATTTTATATCTTTATATTTTATATCGTGAAATAATGACTGGGTGACCTCATTTTCGTGCACTTGTCAGCCATCATGAGAAGGGTGTATGGCTACCAGCATGTGACTGTGCAAAGCCTCCATTGACCTTTATTACCCGGCTGCCATGTTGATGGAAACAATATATTTCCCTAGCATTCAAGCACTTCAGGATGAGGTTACACGTAATTGAAAAATGGGATTAAACATGGTGCCATGTGATAAAGGTTTGTTGGGCTTGATTTACAATTCACCTTTTGAGCACTAGCCAACAGGTTGTATAAGAGTTGTTTGTTTGTGTTACGGTCTCCAAGCAGTTCGGACATTGTTCTCAGATTTCCATTAAATGTACTGACATTTAAACAAATTATTTAACTGGTTTGTTTAGTTATCTCTAAATACAAGCAAAATATTATTTCTCTATTAACTTTATTAAAGCTTTTGTTATTGCTGTTTAGAAAAGTAACTCAAGAAATCGATCTGAATTTTTATTTTAAAGTCAGTGAATTTGTATGTGAATCTGAAAATCCAAAGCTTTTTGGTGAGGGTAACACAATCCAACATGTTTTGGGCTAGTGCTCAAAAGGTGAATTGATTGGTTAAGTTGCATGATTGAAGCAGTAGAGTGCATACCATATATATCCATGAGAAAGTTATCTAAACAAGTTGTAGAAATTGGTGCAAAGTTTTTTTAGGTCTATTGTTTACTGAACTTTAATAATAGACCTTAATAATGTTTGCAATTTCTTACAAAGTTTTTTGCTGATATTTGATATTCACTCTACTTAACCAGTGTAACTTATTTGGGTTTCCTTAGTTGTTCTAAAGTACTGTACTATTTTAGAATGTTAGTTGAGTGCTTGCACCAAATAATGCAATATCTATTGTCTAGTTCCCTGCTAGCAGAGTCTCTCCTCTTTCTCTCCCTTCTTTTAGGCAGGGATGAGGGAAACTCTGCTGATGTAGAGCGTTTTCTTTGATACACCGCCGTCCATGATGGTGGACAAACGAAACCAGTTTTAAAACCGGTTTTTAACCAGGTACATTTAGTGCCCATGAGCAAATGTAACACACCGTGATGAGAAAATGTTGTTTGCACTTAGCACTGCTAAGTTATGCCACGCAGGTGAGACAAGTATATAACATCCTACGTCAGCAGTCTATTTTTCTCACTCCACCAAAACAAAAGGAAAATAGGCTCTGCTAGCAGGGAATAATAATTTATTGCTTGGGTGATTTTCCTAAGAAAATGAAACAGTTTCTATTAGTTAGTGTAGTTCTTTTGTATAGCCAACACAAAAGACCACAATGGAAATAAGATCTACCAACCTCCCTATTAGTACRATAACTGTTTTACAGTCTGAAGAAAATCACTTTAACAGATTGGGTACAAAGTAGTACTATGTACTACTGTTTCACAGATAAAGTGCTTGCACTTTACTAGCTAATCCAAATGTTATCCATAGTAACGTACAAGAATTTTAAAAAAAGTTAATAAATTTTATTTAGGATTTTGTTGATTTTCAGTATAGTGTCTTGGCATTTAAGGTGGCTGACTACTTTGGTAAATAATAAACTGAAAATCGAAGCTTCATTAACCTGAAATTTAATGCCGATTTTAAAAATGTAGAGAAAAATGGGGGTGTCCCAAGCTTGTTTTTGAGATAATCACTGAATGACATAGGCTTGTATAATTTTGGAAGAAAAAGAGAAAATCAAGCTCTGTACAAAAAAATCACAAAACCGAAACTAAGGAAGAAACATGAGTAATTTTCTCCGAATATGTAACTTACACTATATTTATAAAATACTGATAAAAGTTGGTTTAATAAACTATTGTAGACAATAAAAAAAACTTTTTTTGTACAGGTTCTATGGTGTGCAAGTTATCGTAAAAATTGAGCACAAAACAAAACCATTTTTTACATTGTTTTATTATATGACCATGAATCTTAGAGCCTGGACACTAGCAAATCGAGCAATCTGATTGGATAGATCGCATACTGGACTCGGTACATTCCGACCTCGGTCAAGATTATCCGTACAGACCTCCTGCTCGGTTAATAAGATCTAATTAATAAACAGAATTGTATTAAATTTTGAAAAACAATGGGATATTAGGCTGTGCTCCCCCCTAAGCAAGGCTTGTAGCTTCTTCCAAAATTGTGCATCCCCCCATTTTTCTGATAAAAATTTGCCCATCCCCCCTTTTTCCTACCAAAAGTTTCCCGATCCCCCCTAAATTTCACTTGCCCCCCTCTCTGCCATACATTATGAACGCAGCCTTACTTGTTATTCTGGATAATAACAAAAAAGTATAGAGTCCCGTGCAAAATTTGAGGGTTTTGCCCTCTTGAAGTTCAAAACGTGTATGGTTCTTCAATAAAATCGTGAAGATTATTCATTACTTTTTGAGCGTGTGCACATCGTGGGCTGAAATCAAACGTTCAAAGGTACTCAGCCAACTTAAACTGCAAAACTTTCACTTAAAACGTATGGACATCGGCATCAGCCTGGTGAAACTTCCTTGTTGACAGAAAGAAGAACTGCTTTGGTTCTCATGTAGTCTCCCCACAGAGTCTTAGTGTCATCATGCAACTCTCCCTCCCCACTAAATGGGGGAGACTAGTTCTTGTGGTATTGACTCTTATTTTACTTTTTACACTAGTCACAATGACTCATGGTCTGAAATGGGAAAACATTACTTCTGAGCCAAGGAGGTCTATTAGAAGGCAACTGATAGATTGAATTAAACTTTTGAAGTTGATTTTTGTGAAGGGAGGAGAACTGGGGAACTCAGAGAAAAACCCTCCTCAAAACACAGGAGAGAACCAAAAAACAACTCTACTGACATACGACAGTCACTATGAATCTAAGAATCTGTGGATTCTTAAAAAGAAACGTATGTGTCTAGTCTAATGCCTTTTCCCAATAAATCAAATATCTTATGTCGTGATAAGGCTCAATAACAACAAAACTATTAAATAATTGATAATGATTCTTGAAAATAGATCTTTCAGAACGATTAAAATAAGTTTTTTCTTGCTGAAAAAATCGATTGTAAAAATATAACCATGAGCATTAGTTCATAAGAATTCAGAATCATAAGACTGCAATTTGTACATCACATGCTAAATGATTTTACATCAACAATATACCCTTTAGATATAGGTATACTCCATTGTTTTTACAACCAGTTAATGCTTTATGGAGGCTTCCTTAGAATCTTTCTCACTGTCAATTACTTCGTCTTCAATGACTCTCCTTTTGAATCCTTTGGAGTGCGTCCAAACCCAATGTAGTCCAATAAACCCAAGAATATATCCACAAATAATAACGTTTGTTTTTCCTTTACGCGTTGAAGTGTTAAAATACTGTGTTATGCTACGACTCTGTTGTTTAACTGGAAACTTCTCTCCAAATTTCTGTTCTCTTTTCTCCATTTTGTTTGCAGAATTATATTTTTTCTAACATTTTTCATCTGGCTAGAGACATTTGATGGCCGAAATCGCCAGGCGTTGCTACCAACTCCGATGTAAGTCCGACAAATTTCCGGAGTTGAACCGAAGAAAGACTTTATCAAAGTATTTGATTTTAAAAACTTTTCTAATAAAATAATCGTTTTGAAAAATATTTAACCAAATTCCTAACACAACGAGTTCTGATTGTACTATTTTTGGCGTTTCTTCGTTAGAAAATAAAAAATTAGACTCTGAATCATCGGAAATTATCGTAAATTGATTCCCCACCCTCCCCTCCCCTGGAAGGAGACAGCTGACAGCTTTATAAACATTCCAAAAGTTATGCGGTAAACGCGGTTCTCTCGGTTCGAAAATATTGGAAATCGGCCCACATTTTGTTTATTTTACGCCAAGTTGCTTTAATTATAGTTCAAATCAATAAGGATAGCGCATCATGGGGTGTTTATGTCAATGGACTCGTTTCAAAAATAGATTCATACTCGTTCTTTCATTCAAAGCTTCTGTTGATTAGGAGAACCGCGAGTTCCACTTAAAACGTTGAAGGAATATTTGATTAACAGATCTTACTAGTATAATCTGATGAAGGAGATCCTGAAAAGGTAGGTCTTTATCAATCTATACTTCTTATTTCTTCATTTCCAATAAGTTTTTCTTGCGATTTTTGGCATTTTTAGTGAGTTTAATTGACCACAAAGCGTTAATGACGGCGACATTTTTCAAAAATAGATTCAAAAGTACTGCTTCCTTTTATCTAAACTACGCTACCAGTTTGATTTATTTAGCTTTTATTATTTGATTTTCATATGAACCACATAATGGGGACTTGCTTCACCGCTAAGCTAAATCGAGGACTCGGAACTGTGCTGAAATATCGTTTCTTGTTTCTTTCTCATCTGAAAGACATGCAACCAAATTTCGACTATCATTGTTTGTGCCACAAATCAAAAACACCATCATTTTACTCATGATGAATTGTATATATTTATTCCTCGTGTTGCTAAGACGCTTTTGGCGTAGTTACATGAATATTCTAATATATATATATATTTATTTATTCTGACCGCAATCTTTGCATGCGAATATTTAAGTAATCTTATTATTATTTTCTTAAAATCTTTCAGACGTTTTGGGGCTCATGAATGACGACTGTATGGGGGATTTATAAAAAAAGCTTTACACTAATAACCAGCTGTTAAAAATTTGCTCTGCTCTCAGAATAATACCGCAATATAAGTACAGATTATTACTGCCTAATTTTTGTCTTTTTTTAGAATTTTACAAATTTTTAAAAATCAAATAAATAAAGTTTGAAAAAATATTATATAATTTAAGGATTTAGAAAATTTATATTTTGAATGTATTAATTGAATGAGAATATATTTATTTTAGGAATTGCCATCATGATGATAATCCAGTTGATCTCTCTTTTAAGTTTGTTAAATTGACTGTGAAAGCCAACTGGCTTTGATGCTTAAGAGCAGTGTTTTTAATGAAATGGTCTGCTTGTTTTGTCATGGGCTAGTGCATTTGACTTTATATTTTATATACATTTATACCCAAGGCCTGTAAATACCTGTATACAGCTATTTCAAAAAAAATTGGTGAACATTTTGTGGCCTTTTCCATGTTGTGAAACCCAAACTGACTTTGGGCAAATGTGAATCCAATCAGCAAAAGGTTACAACAATATGAAATTTTACTAAACTCTGTCTGCACATTTTTCCACTATAAATTCTTCTGTGAGCTTCCGGGTTGACATTATACATTTCAAGCTTAGTACAGTCAGAAACATATGCAACATGCCGCAAAACCTGTACCAACCTCTTTTGAAATAGCTGTGTAGGCTTGGCTGACAGGTCCCAATCTTGATTGGGAGGGGGGGGGGGGGGGGGGGGGGGGGGGGGGGGGGGGGGGGGGGAGGGATTTGACAGTGGCATTTCTCTTAATCCGCTGAATTTCTATTGGAGTTTACAAATTTTTTTTTTTCGGGGTGGGGGGGAGATGGAAACTGAAGCTTTGGGTTAGGTTAATTTACAGTGAAACTACTCCAAGCAAGGCCACCTGAACAAATTTACAAATATGCCAATCAAAAAGGGGAATCATCTGAACAATAAAATTGCTTCAAATTGGACAAATATCCAAAATATGCCGCTAATCTATTGTGTAAATACTCATGGATAATTTGTACAAGATTTGACGAGGTGGCCTTGGTTGGAGTAGTGGTACCGTAAATAAAAAGTAGAAATTGTGTGGAAATTTTGGAGCTTTTCCACAATTCAGAGTTTTGCAGTGATATATATATTATATATTCCTACATTATTTTTAGATGACCAAAGGGGACATGCCAACTCAACAGAATACCATTCAGATGCCTGGTGAAGACATTCTTTTATCACAAGCAGCAGTTTTACCAGGTACAGAAAAGTAATCTTAACATTGTACTATTAATTTAAATTAATGGAATTAAAGTAATATTAGATTAATATTAATTGGATAAATAAAATCTATTTGATTGTAGGAGGTTTCGACAAGTCCAGACACCCAGTAATCATCCTCCCACCCAGTCAGTACCCAAATCTTTTCCAATTAAGAAAGAAAGATGTGCTTCAACTTCTAAGATATCTTACTCATCTTTCAAGGTTAGTAGTATACATGGTAGAATTCATCCCACAGGCCGCCCAGGATGTTCATTTATTCATTAGGCTGTGTTCATAATGTAAGGCAGAGTAGGGGGAGGGCAAATTTGAAATGTCCAGAATATTTATTAACACTGTACCCCCCTTTAAAGCCATGCAAAAAAATACGATCTCCCCTAAGCAAGGCTTGTAGCTTGTTCCAAAAATTGTGCATCCCCACACATTTTTCTGATACAAATTTGCCCATCCCCCCTTTTTCCTACCAAATTTTCCCGATCCCCCTCAATTTCACCTGCCCCCCCTCTGCCATGCATTATGAATGCAGCCAACAGTTGTAAATAGATCTCTTTAGCTTTGTTGTTTGTTGTGGTACAACCAACCATGTGATGCCACTCTTAGGAGTTGATTCGTTCATATGTAAATATTTCAACATGTTCGTCACAAAGAACAATTCTCAAGAGTATGTCACATGGTATAGTAATAATAAATTATGTGTTTGGTGTGTGTAATGAAATAGAGAGAATAAGAGAAAAATATCAAATGCCCTTGGCGGGAATCGAACCAACATCTTCGATATTCCAGTCAGTTATCCTCACAAGTACCCTACATTTCATATTCTGGCTGTGTTACCAGTGTGGTTGGTCCTTATGGTGTAGTGGTTAACACATTGGGCTGGAATACCGAAGACGTGGGTTCGATTCCTGCCAAGGGCATTTGATATTTATCTCTTATTCTCTCTACTTCAGTATGTCACATGGTCTGAAATGGGCAACTTGCATATGAAGGTTAGGTCTATTTAACCTTGTACTGAACAAATGTTAGGATGGGTTGCCTGTGGTTGAAACAGAGGAGACCTAACTTTTAGAACTAGAGGGRGAAGGATTTTATGATGGGTTCTGCATGTTCAAGAAGGTAAAGGGGCTATACATTATTGTATCGCTTTTGTAGGAATGTTATTTCCAACAGATCTTTTTACTGATACGACAGCAATCTTGAATAGCGCAGCGCACTTAAAGATTTGGACAAACATTGCTTTCTATTTAATCGCTACGTGGATTATACGAACCGATTTTATTATTTTTACTGAAAGTTTCAATAATAACCCATGTCTAAGATCAACTGCGATCGGCTGTGAAAATTATCTGCTGAAAGTAAACTAGTAAGTTTGTTTGTCCGAATTTCGCCTTTTGTCTTTGTTTTTATGAYGTCACGGTTGCGCTGCACTATTATGGTATGCCAAGGGGGCAAATGGGTCTGGAATTCAATGGTAGTGGCAGGAGTGGAAAAAATATTTTTTTCACTTTTTTTTAAAAAAGACAAGTATTAATTAAAAAAATAAAACATACCTACCACTTGGTATTTCTCATCTCATTGATAATGAATATTATTTATTTATTTATTTGATTAATATTATGTTGTCATATTCAGGGTTTGGTTTTCAAGCCAAGGGATTGCTGTTCTGGCTGACCTCACATCTGCAGATCAAGAAGTAGTTTCCCTTGTTCTTGGCCTTATTCACAAATTACAAGTAAGCAACATGAAACAGATTTGATATAACAGCAAAAATTTGACATATTATAGAATGTAGAATGTAAGCCAGAATATTGTCCATAGTGGACACATTCTCATACTTTTACTCTGACTGTAATGAATTATCCATATTACCGTTAGTTAAAGTCATCGAAAAAAACCTTTAAATTTATTGGGATGGTATGGGTGGTGTGCGCTACTAATGCATCGTCTTTCACTGCTGTGAGTCTAACGGGTCCCTGCGGTCGCCACATGGGAATTGAGTTTGTTTGATGTGTTGTTCTTTCCTGTGCTACGAGGGTTTTTATCCGGTTTCTCCCTTTTTCCTCTCTCTGTAAAAATCAACATGGGAGTAAGGAGGGAGTAAGTCTGGCAGAACCTGGAGAACAACCCTTGAATCAAGAAAGAGACCTAACAAACTCTACTCACATGTAATGCTAAGTCCAGGAATCAAACCTGAGACCCCACAGGTGAGTGACAGATATGTCACTCAATCTGATCCCTAAGTTTTATTCAGAATTCCTAGTATCACAACCCTTTGTTTTTCAAATTTATTTGATAGATGTAAACAAACTACCCAGTTTTGTGATATGTTGTTTTATGGTTTATGCAGAATATAAGAACCACTCCTCTTTCTCCCTTAAATGAACAATAAAAACTGTCCACCCACCACCCCCCC